ATGCCATTTGCAAAGCAGTGATAGGTATTATTTAGAAAAAAAATTAAGAAAATCATTTTGTTAAAAAAAAAAAAAATTAAAAAAAATTAAAAAAAATAAAAATCCCTACCTACCTACCCTAATTTTTTTGGAAGTGTAACCGGAACCACACATATTTTTTTGTTTGGCCTAAACACTAATTTAAAAAAGTGAGGTCAAGGTCAAAGGAAAAGTCAAGGTCAAAAAAGTTGATGCAATTGATATCTCTCAGCAGTATAATTATATCAGCATATGAAGTTTGATAAATATATCTTGAATTGTTTATTCAAAACTGATCTAGACACTAATTTAAGAAAAGTAAGGTCAAGGTCAAAGGAAAATTCAAGGTCAAAAATTTTGATGCAGTTGAAAAGCTTACATCAGTATGTATCAGCATATGACGTTTTATTGAAGTCGGACATGACAAACACTATATGCCTCGGCCATATTCATGGCAGGGCATAAAAAACTTGAATCTACACTATATGAGGATGTTTCCATATCAAAATGACTAAGAAGCAAATTCAAAGAATTGTGGTCCCCTGCTTTCCGTGTCCTAGTGGATGGGATGCCATTATTTATGACATATTGTTTCAAATATGCACGCCCTATCATATGTCATTCAAAAGTAATCACCAAAGTTAAAATTTTTGAAAATTAGGTAAAACATCAAGGTCAAGGGGTAAAAAGTCATAGCATGCTTGGAAACATCTTGTTACAGGTAATGTACATGTCAAATATAAAAGTCCTATCTCTTCTCAATCAAAAGTTATAAGGAAATATAACATTTTTGAAAAGTAGGTTAAACTTCAAGGTCAATGTCACAGAGTCAAAAGTCATGATATATTTAGAAAGGTCTTGTCACAGGTAATATACATGTATAATATGAACGCCCTATCTTTTCTCTTTCAAAATGATCATTTGAAATAATGTTAAATTTTTTGAAAAGTAGGTCAAACTTCAAGGTCAAGGTCATGGGTTCAAAAATCATGGTATGTTTAGAAAGTTCTTGTAGGTAATGTACATGTGAAATATGAAATCCCTATCTCTTATTATTCAGAAGTTATGACCAAGGTTAAATTTATTGTGACAGATGGACAGACTGACAAACAGACAGACTGACAGACAAATGAGATTTAATGTCCCCTAGGTCCCTTTTGTGAAAACGGACGACAATAATGCCCTTGCTATTCATGAGAAGAAGATTTATGATGGAAAAAATCCCCTGCATTTTTCTATGTAAATCATTGGATCCCCATATGTGGCCCCATCCTACCCCAGTGGGTCATAATTTTAACAAATTTGAAGCTACACTGTCTATGTAAAGAAAGTTTCAACTTTTTGGGCCCAGTCAGTGGTTCTTGATAAGACTTTTTTAAAATGATACCACCAAATTTTCACTAATTCTTGATTATCCCCCCTTGAAAGAGGGTGTGACCCTTCACTTGAACAAACTTGAATCCCCTTTACCCAAAGATGCTTTGTGGCTGGGTTGGTTGAAATTGGCCCGGCGGTTCTAGTGAAGAAGACAAAAATGTGAAAAGTTTACAGGCGGACAGATGGATGACAAACAAAATGTGATCAGAAAACCAGAAAAACTCAAGTGAGCTAAAAACTGATGATCACATTTAGTACTTGGAAAGAGTTACAGTATTTGAAAAGCAGTTTTTTTTTTCATGCATTAATTGTTTTCAGAAGCTGAAAAGGTATGACTTGTATCCATGTTGAAAAAACTTCACATTTCAGAAAACAGTATGATTAAAAATAGTTAATCAAGGTGCTTTGAGTAGCAAAATAAGCTAAACTGGTATAGCTAATTCAACCACAGAGCTTAGTGAATTTTAAAATGCACAACCTTTTCAACTCTTAATCATTCTTAAAATATTTATATCATCATTTCTGATTCAAGGGAGAACTAGAGATATGATCAGAAGTATATCCATTGACTAATAAACATGTACAGGTATATTGTGTTTTTTAAGTCATTAATGTTTGTTGTTAAATGTCCCTCTTGGGAATTTTTCACTCATACGGAGACACCACCACTTAAAAATAATGAAGACGTACAAGTTGGATTTGAGGTTAACATTCATTTTAGGAATTTTCAACAATTAATTAAGACGTAAAGAGATAACTCCTTCCCCTTGCCCCTTCCCCTTCCCAGACCCCAGTTTGTTCATGTATGCAAACTAGTCTAATACTTTGGTTTGACATAAAAAAAATGTGAATACATACAAATAGTTTAATGGTCCATCTCTTTGAATGATTTTCATTCCTAATTCTAGGTTGACCCAAATTTATGAATGAAATGTCAAGTAATCTTATCATTGATGCACTTCTATTTAATTTGATGTAGTCATATTATGAACAAGAGAGTGGGGATGACCTCAAGGGTTCATAACCTTAAACCATTAGATGTACATAACATAATAACACAAGAAACAAAATTATGTATAGTCAAATGGAAAAATTTTCTACTATTTAGGAGTCGCATGATCATTTGTCATTTCAGGGACAGGGAGCAGCTAGGGAGATTGGAACCCCCCCCCCCCCCCTGGAATTTGCAGAGTTATTTAAATAGGACTATATACTGATTTACAGAAGCAAATAAAAAATGACTTTGGATGCCCTCCCCCTTTAAAAACATGGACCCCACCATCATTGTTTTTATTTTCTTTGTTTGTTTGTTTGTTTGTTTTTTTTTTTTACTCCTCAGGAAATTCTGGGCTGGAATTTTTTTGGACCGAGGTGTGGACCCCCCCCCCCCCCCCCCCCCGGAAAAAAATTCCCGGATCTATGCCTGTAACTGAATGTAATGTCGACAACGGGAGATAACTCTTCAGAATGTGAAATTCGTCTATTGTGGCATCGATGATCCACTCTCTACGATCGGCTCATACATTCAGTGTCTGAGAGAGAAACGAACGACAACTCTGCATAGGAGATTGCCGATGATCTTTGATCCTTTTTAAACTTTAACCTAACCATTTGCATTTCGGTTTATTTTACCCCAATCTATACTTAAACTTGTACTTACCGACTGTCATAGGTCCTGTCAACTTCATGAAATATAATCCAATTAAAACACAAAATGAATTAATTTCCACTGATATACATGTAACGCTGCACCATGTCACATGGCATGTGCAATCTAAAAATGATAATGGTAAAACTAGTACTAGTACTGGTAGGGTGACGCAAGCCCAATGTGATGTAGAAATTTTCAAAAAGGTGTTCACATACATGTACAGTACAAGAACAAATTTTAAATTATCATAACAAACGATGTTTTAACATAACTTTGCCATCTAGGCCTATTTCCAGAAACAGGCAAATTGTGTGTGTATGTGTGTATTGGGGGGGGGGGGGGGGGGGGACACATATAAATTGATTGGGTATGGCTTTTCAAGGAGGTTTTTGCCTAATCAAATACTAAAAAAAGTTTGCACATTTTGATAAATTCATCAAAAACGCTTTGTACTAAAATAATATTATTTGTTGTTGAGAAGATAAATTTAAAAAAGTTCCAATTATGGGCCAAAAATTTATATCCCCCCCCCCTTTTTATTAAAACCTAATTTACAACATTAATTAAATTCTGATATTTCAGACTGGTAATGAATTAAGTATTATGAAATGCGTATAAGAGGTTCATGGGTCACATGGTCACCTGAGCATTTTATGCTCGATTTGACGAATACATGTACTGTGTAAATTATAGAATTATTTGGACTTTTTCCTTGGTAAGCCCAATATGAAGGAGTGTGCATTTAGAGGCAAACACCTTAGTGCGGGTATTACTGTCTCATGACAGCATCTAGTTTCAATTTTGAAATAGTTTTAAGTTAAAATATATAAATCAGAATTTCTGTCCAGTGATTTTAAAGAAATATAAAGGAACAAATATTTGATTTCTATTAGGTATGTGCATGCATGTTTTGGGGGGTGGGGGTGGAGGGGCTGAACGATCTTGGAAATAAAAAAGAAAGCTTTTTATTTTTAGTTTGGACAACCCCTCCTTGTTTCTGATTGTCAAACATTTTTCAGTGAAGAAAAAAATAAAGAAAATACCTCTTGTCATCCTAGAAATAAATACCTGGTATATTTTGTCATGTGAAGGCATGTACTGACTCAACAATTTTTACCCCCACCCCCTGCATTTCTCTACATTTGAAAACAGCTCAGGTGGATTGAAAATGAATTTCAAACTAAAATTTCAATCCATTGTTTTCTCGGACATCCGTGCTGAATTGTACCTGCCCATTTCATTGTCTATCATTAAATGTTTTGACTGTAACAGATGGAAAAGACAATAAGCTGTATATTTCCAATTTTGCCAGTTTATGTTTCGCGGTCTTATAATTACTGTACTATTTAACAAATTTTCATATTTGCAGATCACCGAGCATATTAATAAACCAAACAAACAGGTAATTGCTGTAAAACAACAAACTGATAAATGACTGTAATTATACAAACATCGTAATTTTGATCTAATAATCATACATGTATTAATCAATGTGTTATACATTTTTTTTCCATTTGGTTGAGAAATCAGCAATAGAACCAGAATAAATGGTTCATAATTCATTTAAATAGAAACAAGTGTTAGAGTTCTCTGTTTAGTTAAGAGTTCACTACCATTGGTTTTGAAATGTCTGGTATATGTTAGAACTGCTATCCTCTGATTTCAGAAGATAAAAATTATCCTCTGAAAATGGCGGTAAATTGCCTTAAAGACCTAGCTGTTAAATATGTTAATTCTTCACATTCTGATAACTAAAAATTCTCTGAGGGATTTAAGGTAAATTGATTTTGCCTTATAGGTACAAGAAAACTATATTGACTGTTAGGTCTAAGGGAAAAAAAAGTTTGTTTACATGTACAGTTACTCGACCAACCTTTATGTGCCGACAGGAATGCTTTTTTTTATGTATATGTACAATAAAGAAATTGTGCCATGTCTGTATGAATTCATTTGAAATGTAACATTTTATATGTCATAAGTTCCCTACCACGTATTTATGAGAGCTGTAGGGTGCATGGAAAAAAGATTTTGCACCAAGAAAAAGTGATCAAGCTTCATAAGTGGTCAAAATGTTTTGTTTTTAAACATGTTAAAAAATAATTTTAAAATAAAAATGTATTTCTACCTACTGTCTACCAAGACCCTATTTTTTATTAGCAGTATATTTTTTTTCGTAGCCCTTGTGTACCTTTATTCCCATTGCTGAGGATTTCATATCAGCTTTGTCTTTCATCATCTTCACTTCTTTTTTACTCTTTTTGTAATCCTGTTTTCCTGTTGAAAAAAAATCAGATTAAAATATTTTTAAAAAATAATCAAGAATAAAACTGATGAAGAACCCAGTGGCTCTAAATCCCCCTTCCCCACCACCCCAGTATCCCTTTGCTGCCATCGGTGTAAACAGTGGTAAACAGGTAAAGTGAAACAGAAAGTAAAAAAAAAAATAATATTGATCCATAAAACTTTTGTGGCATAATTGCTAGAAAACCATTTTGCATTTTGTACCTATATCTTTCCTGTATTTTTCAACTGGTGTGCCTCTATTGGCACTAGCATCTTTCTTTCCCATTCTTAGGTCTGATTTAGATTACTATTTCAGTCTGCAACCCAGTTCCATTTTCTATTGCATTCGGGTTCGGTTGACGTGTCAAATTGCCGGGTATAGTTTCCGAAAGGAGGCAATTTACCTGAATTAATGGAAAAAAAGAACAAGAAATTTTGTATTGTCATAATTTGTATTAAAGCATCATTATTAATCTAAACAAATACATTTTAAAACTATTTTTCTTCTCCTTTTCCTTTTTAAAATTAACAAGAAAACATTATTTCATCGGGTTTGGTATTTTACACATTGTAAACACAGAAAGGTTAAGATGCGGCATGGATCATGGATCTATTATCTCAGGATCATGAAAAAAAAATCAGCTAACTAACATACGCTGATTTCTTATTCAAACTTTTTTATTGTATGGTTGTATGTGTAGTCTGTGAAAATGAATTGCCTACGACATACTCGACACTGTTGGAAGATCAGTCGAGCTCGAGTATTGAAATTTTACCCATCGTTAACGTTCTTGACATCAAAAACATCCAGTGCATTTCACTGGGGGCCGAAATATATGGCGGTGGACAAGTTAGACAAAATGTCAAATCCTATGCAGACAGATTTTCCTTGCACTCACATGATATACAAAGCTTCAGAGTATTTCCCTAGGACAGCTTTAGTTGATAGTTCAGATTCATATTCATATGTATTTATTTACACAAAAAGTGTGTCTTTGGCAAGAAGACTTCATAAAGCTTATCCTTTGAATATGGAACAAACAAATGTCATTGCATTCTTTTATGACAATAATGTAAATTATGTGGTCATGCTGTGGGCTATTTGGATGTTAGGTGCCGTTGCTCTTCCTTTAAATCATGCTTATCCACAAGAAGACCTTGAGTATTTTTTATCAGACTCAAAGGCAACCATTTTACTTACCACACAAAACCACAGGGAAAAGGCTGTCAGTTTTTCACAACAGGGAACAATTCCTGTAGTGTATCAAAGCATCACTAGCAATCAAAATCTTGTTTTTGAAAGTTATGATGACTTGGAATTTGCAAATGGGGAGCAATGGCTTTTACAGAAACCTGCGCTTATGATCTATACAAGTGGTACTACTGGAAAACCTAAGGTTCTTATATAATTTATCAATTTTTTCCCTAAAAATAGTATTGTACTGTATGATCATTGATGATATGCATTAAGGTATTGAATATCTGCATGCATCATGGAGTCTATATACATCAGTACAAGATACAAGCTGATACTTTATTTACCAGTCAAGGGCCCCGAAAGGCATTTCAACATATATAAATGTACAATTTAAACATTATTTCACAATAGAAATTGATTTTTTTTAGTACATGAATTGGATATTTGTTACATATATCAACAAGATATATCTAAAAATAGATGATAGCTGTGTTTATCATTTGAAAGTGTTTTAATTAGTGTATAAAATTTAATAGATACTAGAATAAATTTATATACACATGTATAAAGTCAGCATTTTTTAGATGCAAAGGAAGTACAAGTGGATTATTTATTACTAAAAGATACATTTTATTCTTGTGATTACAATCTAGGGAGTTCTGCTTTCACATACCAATCTGCACATTTACATTCTTGGAATGATTGATGCCTGGAGATGGGTGGGTAATGACCGAATCCTCCACACTCTACCACTGAACCATGTCCATGGTGTGGTGAATGCCCTACTCACCCCCCTGTACTGTGGAGCTACAGTCTACATGTTACCCAAGTTTGATGCAAAGGTAAGATTTTTTTTTCAAGAAAATGCTATATAGGATGGGAAATTATTTTAATATAACAATTAAAGGACAATATATAATAAGGATATTTTATTTGTCTTAAAAAACTACAGGTAAGAATTGGTACAGGTAAAAATTGGACTAATTCCAAACATACCATGTACGAAGAACAGAGTGTTGATCAATATGGATAATAATTATATTAAAATCATCTGCTTGCAAAGGAGACATACATGTATTACTAGTAATAGCTGTTTTAATCTTAGCGATATTGTTGGTCTCGCCCAAAAAGGGGGAGGAGGAAGGTGGGCTAAAACCATCCTTAATCTACTCTTCTCTTTCAAACATCAAGCATTAAAAGTTAATTTATATTGTTGAACATTGATACAGTCAAACTTCGATATCTTATATACCACAGATATGTCAATGTGAGGGAAGTCCCAATCATCTTTTTTTTTTGTTTTTTAACTTTGATTTTGAGAACGCTCGGATATCTCCAAGTATTTCTTGCTCCCATCAAGATAACAAGGTTTGATTGTATATAGGCAATGTATTCTATTGGTATTAAAAATATTTGATGTAAATGTTTGATTTTGTAGCTTGTCCTTGAAAGATTATTAGAGAGTTCAAAAAATTCCATTACCCTATTCATGGGTGTACCGACCATGTACGCTCTTATGATCAGGTATTATGATGAGGAGTATGGAAATGCATCAGAGGAAATTAGGAATGTTATAAAGGAACAACTCCAAAAGCTACGGTACATGTACAGTCTAAACTTTGTAGTAATCTTTTGAGATCTGTCAGGAGAAATTCACTATAACTGTAATTCAGTATAGCCAGTTACAACTCTGAATTAACATTGGAATGGTGTTGTAATTAATTTTTTTTAATGGTGTTATTGTTTATCACTTTCGTTATAAATGTTATGCTTATCCTTGTAATAACATCCCTGTTTGTCATAAAGATAATACAAAACTTTCATAGTACTGTAAATGTTTCCATTTGAAAAAAAAATCTTGCAGTTCAATCCAATACATGCACTACTGGTAAGTCCTTAGTGTATTACTATACTATATTGAAAAAGACACTGCCATTCATTATTAAAGTATAAGTTGACAATGAAAAATAATATTTGTTATAAATGTACATATATTGACATATTAATCCAAAGGTTGTTTGTAAGTGGATCTGCTCCGCTTCCCATTCCAGTGTTAGATAAGTGGAGAGAGATATCGGGCCACACTATACTTGAGAGATATGGTATGACTGAAATAGGGATGGCTCTTACCAATCCATATAAAGGAGAGAGAGTTCCAGGTAAGTGGAGAGAGATGTCAGAGCATACTCTACTGGAAAGATATGGTATGACTGAGATAGGGAATTAGGGATGGCTCTGACCAATCTATATAAAGGGGAGAGAGTCCCAGGTAAGAGATATCGGACCACAATATGCTTGAGAGATATGGTATGACTAAGAGAGGGATGGCTCTGACCAATCCATACAAAGGGAAGAGAGTTCGGGTAAGTGGAGAAAGAGATCTCCATATATGGTATGACAGAGTTAGCAATGTGCTCTGGCCAATCCATACAAAGGGGAAAGAGTTCCAGGTAAGTGGATAGAGATATTAAGCCATATTATACTGGTATGACAGATATACATGTAAACAGAGATAGCTCTGACCACAGTGTAGTGAGCTTTTGGCATACAAATTGAATTGTCAGCTGTAAGTAAACTGGACTAAATACTGTTTGATTAACATAGTGAAAGAAAAATGCATTATTTAATCCAGATTTCATGCAAGAAGATAAATCATGTGTTTTTCTAATATCCTTTTGTCTTACGGATAATCCATTCCTGATTATTCATTTCATTCTTTTTCTCTATGAAGATGTGATTTTTTTTAAGGACATTAAGTTATATATAAATTCAAAGTAAAAATTGCCTTTATTTTTGTAAAAGGAGCTGTTGGTTTGCCATTTAAGTATGTCAGTTTCATTATTGGGAATTATAATGCCTATGTGGATGGTGAATATGAAGTGATAGCTGAAGGAAATGATGAAGAGGTCAAAGTTACAGAGGGTAAGGTACTACTGAAGGATATTTAAACAGGAATTATAAATTGAGATGATGTACTTGAACTATGTTTTAAGTTTTTAGCTCATCTGAGCTGAAAGACTGTGTCAGTCTGTCATGTGTTGTGTGAAACTTTTCACATTTTTGACTTCTCTAGAACCACTGGACAGATTTCAACCAAACTTTTCATAAAGCATCCTTGGGTGAAAAGGATTCAAGTTTATTTAAATGAAGGGCCACACCCTCTTTCTAGGGGAAATGTTTACTAGGAATTAAGAAAATTAAAAGTTATCTTTTAAAAATCTCTTCTCAAGATCAAATGGGCTAGAAAAAGATATTACCAAGGTGAAAGCTTTACTTCATAGTGTAGATTCAAGTTTGTTCAAATCATGAACACCTGAGGTAGGATGGGGCTACATTAGACTATCAAAGTCTTTTATAGGAATAAATAGGGAAAAAATCTCTCAAGAACAGCAAAGCTATGATAAGTCATATTAATATGGAAGCAACTTTGGGTAGTGTAGATTCACGTTTGTTCAAATCATAACTCCAGGGGGTAGGGTGGGGCCACAATAAGAGATCAAAGTTTTACATTAGAATATATAAGAAAAAATCTTTAAAATTTTTCTTGTTTGTTTGTTTGTTGTTTAACATCCCTCTTGAGAATTTTTCACTCATATTGAGACGCCACCACTTGACGGTGGAGGGCTGCAAATTTTTACCTATACTCAGCACTCAGGGCCAATGAGCAGTGAGGGATCTTTATCATGCCAGCACCTACTGCGACACAGGACCTCAGTTTATACGGTCTCATCCCAAGGACCGGTCTCCGCGTCCCGCAGTGGGATTCAAAACCCGTGATGTAACGATATACACCCTACACTGTGACTCGATCTAGAGCAAATGCTCTAACCACTGCGCCACGTCGGTGAAAAAAAATTTCTTGTAAAGAACAACAAAGCTGTGATTAGACATATTAGTAAGAAAGCATCTTCAGGTAGTATAGATTCAAGTTTGTTCAATACATGACCCCTGGAGTCAGGCCATTTTTAGCCAGTCAGTGGGAGAGGGCCAACAAACATTTTTAAGATGGCAATAAGCATCAGTATACATATACTGAGCTGTTTGAATTGATGAATCTTTGGACTTGATGTTGAGGGTCATTGTAAGAAGAGAGAGAAATGTGTGAGGTTCATGGCCACTAGGTCTGTTTTCATATACTGTAAACCAACTATTATTCGCGTCAACTTTTATTCGCGATATGTCAGGCTGAAATCAATTTTCGCAACTGAGGAATTATTATATACAAATACAAAGCAAAATAAATGGTTCACGGCGTTTAATATTTGCGAGTTAAAGTAGGTCATGAAACTCACGAATATTTCTCGCACACGAATAAAAGTTGGTTTACAGTATTGTAAAATGCTGTGTACTGTTTCCAGGTAAAGAGGGACATGAAGGGGAATTGCTAATTAAGGGTCCAGGTGTATTCAGTGCATACTGGAATGCACCTCTCAAAACCAGCGAATCTTTCACCTCCAAAGGATGGTTCAAAACAGGTTTGAACTCTCTGATTTCTCTAGCATTTCTTTTTTTATCTCAACATTTCAAATTTTACAATGGTAGTATTTCAGATAAAAGCCATAATATGAGATGCACTTCATAGTGTTTTCAAGTTTATTGCAGGTTCTTGATAATGATTTTCTTTGTACATGTAGCTATAGTCAAATACATGATTATTTATATTTGAATTTTTTTTGCTTTAATTTATTCACAGGGGACATGGCTGTTTATGAGGATGGGGTAGTAAAAATTAAAGGAAGAATTTCTGTGGACATAATTAAGTATGGAGGATTCAAGATAAGTGCCTTAGAAATAGAGAATATACTGCTTCAGCACCCAGATGTTCAGGAATGTTCTGTTGTTGGTGTATCAGACATTACATGGGGACAAAAGGTGGCAGCCATTGTGGCTTTGAAACCAGGTGCATCGGACATGACACAAGAATCACTGCAGACATGGGCAAAAGACAGATTACCAAAACACAAAATGCCAAGTATTGTGAAATTTGTGGACCAAATTCCCAGAAATAGTATGGGAAAAATCAATAAAAAGGGACTTATAAAGGAATATTTTAGACAAACAAGAAGTGTTTGAGTGAAATTAATTTAATAAATGAATTTTACTTTATTACTTTATGTGTTTCTTAATTTTATGGAAGGTTGGGCATTAAAAGTGAAGTATACTAGGCTAATAAAAACCAATAAAAACTAAATAGGAATGTATTCAAATTTTCCAGCCAAGGTCTAAAAAAAAGTTTGATATAATGAAAACAATGGACTTCCTCGGCAGAGATTCTATTTAGTTTTAGCTCTACAAAATCGGAGACCAGAAGAGCTCATGCATTGATAAGGTAAGGTATTTTTTATCTGTCTGTGTGTCTGTAAAATACATTCTTTCAAAATGCCCTTGATGTACTACTAGGTGGATTCCTGGATATTTAGTTACAACTATGCCTTAAAGACATGACAATGGATGACATGAAGTATATTAGTCACCTTCCTCTGGTTGGTAATATATAAGACCTGACATTTACAAAGATAGAACACCATTATCCATCCTTTCTATTATCTCTGAAGCTCATCAAGGTCTTTTGGAAGCCCAATATGGCATCCCTCTTAATCTTGATGACTAAAATTGTCAAGAGTGCAATCATGATTGCAAGGACTGGACAGTTCATTTCTTGACACAGTTATCCCAGCTGACTATTCATGAAGAGAAGGATTTCACTGTATAATTAAGAGTGTTAAGGACACTCCTCCTGAGTACATCAGATTATATACCAGCTGTACCTGATGTGGTTCCATCCAGTAGAACATGTTGGGTTTAACTGCCCTCCTAGGAATTAAATTCTAGCTGTATCCCTAGCCAATATCTGCTGAGCCTCATATCCCATAATAGCACAGCTTATATACAGTATGGGCTTTGATTTTGGGAGACTTTGTCGAAAGCTTTTGAAAAGTCATGAAGCAATATCGCATCAATCTATCTGTCTCTAATTATTGTTGTCTATCATGTTGCAAGCCAGGTATTGTATTGTTGTATATTGTTATAAGCTGGCATTTACAGGAATGCCCGAATCTGTTGGTGTGCTTCATGCAGAATTATACATGTATATATAGTCTATTCAATTTATCTTTAAGCATCAAGCTAATTGCAACAGAAATTGTTTATTATAATATTAAATACATGTAAACTCTAGAACTCACAAAATACATGTATAAAAAAAAAATGACCAAAATTGGAAAGAGGAAGACATGGGTACATCCATTTTTTGTCCCCAGCTTCCACTGAAACTGGGGGATATTTATATGGGTCTGTCTGTCTGTGTGTAACACTTTTAGGTCACCTGAGTCACTCAGGTGACCTATTGCTATCTGTTTTCGTCTGTCGTCGTCCGTCGTGCGTCGTGTGTTAACATTTGAACATTTTCAGCTTCTTCTCTGAAACCGCTGAACCAATTTCAGCCAATTTTAGCATATGGCATCTATGTGTGAAGGGGAACAAAATTTGTGAATATCATGGTCCCTGCCCCCCTGGGGCCTGAGGGATGGGGCTAAAACCACCAAAATTAATGCAATCTTTAAAAATCTTCTTCTTTACTCCTGGACATCAAGCAGTCAAACTGTTGGCATGATTGTAATAAGCATTGAGCCCTCTACCAAAATTGTGAAATTCATGGCCCCAGGGTCAGGGGTTCTGGTGCTAGGGTGGGGCTATATAGATCATATAGTGAAAGTGCATTATTTCTTTGAAAATGTTCTTCTCTACTCCTGGGTATTATTGAAACAAATTAAATACATAGTTATGTTAAGCAAGAGTGACTCCACCAAAATTGTGAAATTCATAGCCCCAGGGTCAGGGGTTCTGGTGCTAGGGGGAGGGGCGCTATATAGATCATATAGTGAAAGTGCATTATTTCTTTGAAAATCTTCTTCTCTACTCCTTGGTATTGTTGAAACAAATTAAATACATAGTTATGTTAAGCAAGAGTGACTCTACCAAAATTGTGAAATTCATAGCCCCAGGGTCAGGGGTTCTGTTGCTAGGTGGGGAGGGGGGGGCTATGTAGATCATATAGTGAAAGTGCATTATTTCTTTGAAAATCTTCTTCTCTACTCCTTGGTATTGTTGAAACAAATTAAATACATAGTTATGTTAAGCAAGAGTGACTCTACCAAAATTGTGAAATTCATAGCCCCAGGGTCAGGGGTTCTGTTGCTAGGTGGGGAGGGGGGGGCTATGTAGATCATATAGTGAAAGTGCATTATTTCTTTGAAAATCTTCTTCTCTACTCCTTGGTATTGTTGAAACAAATTAAATACATAGTTATGTTAAGCAAGAGTGACTCTACCAAAATTGTGAAATTCATAGCCCCAGGGTCAGGGGTTCTGTTGCTAGGTGGGGAGGGGGGGGGGCTATGTAGATCATATAGTGAAAGTGCATTATTTCTTTGAAAATCTTCTTCTCTACTCCTTGGTATTATTTAAACAAATTAAATACATAATTATGTTAAGCAAGAGTGACTCTACCGAAATTGTGAAATTCATAGCCCCAGGGTCAGGGGTTCTGGTGCTGGGGGGGGGGGGGGGCTATATAGGTCATATAGTGAAAGTGCATTATTTCTTTGAAAATCGTCTTCTCTACTCCTTGGTATTTTTGAAACAAATTAAATACATAGTTATGATAAGCAAGGGTGACTCTACCAAAATTGTGAAATTCATGGCATCAGGGTCAGGGGTTCTGTTGCTAGGGCGGGACTATATAGATCATATAGTGAATGTGCATTATTTCTTTGAAAATCTTCTTCTCTTCTCCTGGGTATTATTGAAACAAATCAAATACATAGTTATGATAAGCGAGGGTGACTCTACCAAAATTGTGAAATTCATGGCCCCAGGGTTAGGGGTTCTGGTGCTAGGTCGGGGCTATACAGATCATATTAAGTGAATGTGCATTATTTCTTTGAAAATCTTCTTCTCTTCTCCTGGGTATTATTGAAACAAATTAAATACATAGTTTTGATATTAGGAAGGGTGACTCTTCCAAAATAGTGATTTTCATGACCCTTGGATCAGGGGTTCTGATGTTGGGGACGGGCTCTATTTATTATATAGTGAAAATGCATTAATGCTTTAAAAATCTTCTTCTCTGCTCCTGGGTATTTTTGAAACAAACTAAGTACATTGTTATGATAAGCAATGATGCCTCTTCCAATATTGTGAAATTCATGGCCCCAGGGACAGGGGTTCTGGTTCTAGGGTGGGGCTATTATAGATCCTATAGTGAAGGTGAATATTTTCTTAGAAAATCTTCTTCTCTGCCCCTGGGTACTATTTAAACAAACTAAATACATTGTTATGATACACAAGGATACCTCTTCCAAAATTGTGAATTTCATGGCCCCAGGGTCAAGGGTTCTAGTGAAAAGGTTTGGGGGGGGGCTTTATTGATTATATAGTAAAAAAGCAAAATTTCTTTGAAAATATTCTTTTCTGCTTCGTGTTAAAAAGCAAAGAAGCTAAGTATATAGTTATGATGAGCAAGAGTGCTTCTTCCAGAGTAGTGAATTGCATGACCCGGGTCAGATGTGCTGGTGTAAGGGTGGGGCTCTTGACAATATAGTGAAAATGCATTAATTCTATTAAATAATCCTGTCTGCTCCTTAGTGTTAAGCAGATAAACATAGTGATTACTTATGATGAGCAAACTTCTGGTCCCAGGGTGAGAGACTCTAGTGTTTCTTGGGGGGGGGGGGGGGCTCTATTGATAATATTGTGAATCTGAAGTAAAAATGCATTATTTCTTTAAAAATTTTCTCTGCACTTGGGCATATCAGAGGCAAAAAGATTAAAAGTTATAATAAGGAAGGGCATTTTTACCAGATTTTGAACATCTGGACCATTTGTTCAAGTGTTCTAGTCCTGGCCAGGGCTCTATTAATTTGTATTCTACTGAGAGGAGTTATTCCCCTTTGCCATTTACTTTTGATAATTAATCACTGTAAACAATGTACTTGAAAGGTTAATAGAATAAGAGAATTAAGCAAGAATTTTTATTGTATAATACAAAAAGTATTTTCATAGTTTTAATGATCAGATAGACTTGTAAGTAATAGATAAATAAAAATGGAACAAAAATAACTTGTCTTATTAAATGTTCATCAAAGACCAAGAGAGGCCAATCAATGTAAGAGATTTGAACAAGAAATTAAAATAGTACAGAAGCACTGATAGGTTTTTAATACACTGTATAGTGATAGTGATAAATGGGGAACAGATTAGAACCTAATTCATAAACTATCAGTGAATACTAGATTAATTATTTTGTTGATCCTGATCACCCTATTTTTCTTGCTTTTGGGCAACAAAGCTTCACCTTTCAGTTCATTTTATACTCTATGGATCCTCTAAATTGTTGTATTATACTCAGGTGACCGTTAAGGCCCTTGGGCCTCTTGTTTTGTTTCCAGACAATATTCTTAAAAAGCATTTGAGTTTTTGCAATGAAATTTTTTATTGAAACTCCCTATGGTCTAAAGAAGATCCCCATTGATTTTGATGTCCAAAGGTCAAGGTCATGGATTTAAATACATTTTGTCTGTGTGTAATATTTTCATTTCCTGATGATCTTAAAAGAACATTGAGCTTTTGAAATGAAATTTTATATAACATCTAACTCCTTATTGCCTATTGAAGACCCCTATTGATTTGAGGTCATAAATTCATATATTTTGTCTGTGATTAACACTTTCATTTCAGGTTGATATCTTAAAAAGACTTTGAGCTTTTGAAATGAAATTTTATATCACAACTCCTTATAGCCTATGGAAGACCCCTATTGATTTTGAGGTCAAAAGGTGTCAAAGGTCAAAGACAGAAATTCATACATTCTGTGTGTATGTAACATGTTCATTTCCCAATGATAACTCAAAAAGCCTTTGAGCTTTTGCAATAAAATTTGATATCACAACTCCCAATGGCTTGCAAAAGGCCGAGCCCCTATTGGTTTTAAAGCTTAAAAGTCAAGGTCAGAAAATTATTCAATCTGTCAGTGTTCAACACTTTGGTTTCCAGATAATACCTTAAAAAAGCCTTTGAGCTTTTGCAATGAAATTTCATATCACAACTCCTTTTGGCCTATGGAAGACCTCTATTGATTATATGGTCAAAAGTCAAGGTCAGAAATTCATACATTGCAAATACAATGTAACAAAAGTCAAGGTCAGAAATTTATACATTGCAAATAACAGTTTCCAGATGATAACTTTAGTTTTCTTTGAGTTTCTTTCAATGAAATTTAATATCTTAATTAACTCCCTATAGCCAGAAAAATGTCACTATTAATTTTGAGATGAAAAGGTCAAGATCAGAACTCTGTAACACTTTCTTTTCCAAACTATATCCTAAAAAGCCTTTGAGATTTTTTGATGAATTTTTATATCACAACTCCCTGTGGTGTTTAAATGGCCCCTATTGATTTTGAGATCAAAGGTCAGGGTAAAAAATTCATGTTTTGCAAAAAGTGGTTTCCAGGTGACAACTTTAGTTTTGTTTGAGCTTTTCCAATGAAGTTTTATATCATGAACTCCTGCTTACTTAAAGAAGATTACTATTGATTTTTTAGTCAAAAGGTCAAAGGTCAAGACTAAAAATCAAACAAATCAAAAACTGATTTTAAGTTCATAATTTTAGTTTTCATTTGAGCCTTTTCTATGAAATTTTTCATCATAACTCCCCATAATGTCTTTAAGAAGAACCTTTTTGATTTTCAGGTCAGAAGTTCATATCTTGCATACAATGCAGGTTCCCCGGTGATAATTAACTCAATCTAGTTCTCTGCGAGGTTTTGCAATGAAATTGTATACCTTTAGTCAATGACTTTATAAAGACTCCGATTGATTTTGAGGTCAAAAGGTCAAAGACTAAGGTCAGAAATTTATATATTGCATGCATAGTTTTCAGATGATAACTTAAGGTCATCAAATTCTTTAACCTAAAAAGGACCCTATACGAGTACACTGTATATTGAGTTACACTGCAAAAGCCGAAAGGTCACAGTTGCTCTTCCTTTTTTTCTTCCTACATCTGCAAATTTTTTTCCCGTTCTTCCACCCTTTTCTTTTTTTCTTAAGCGGAGGACACAAATTCTCTGAAAACTTGATATTGCTATTATTTAACTTAACGGAACTCTTTCGCCGTATACAATGGGTCCTTTTTTTATGGACTGGACTCAGGACGGCCGAGCGTGTGAGGATCGATGAGAAATGGGTCTTACATAATTGATTAAAATGAAATGAATTACTTCTCGTAAAATTTAGTATGTTTTTCAAGAATATTATTGTAGAAAATGAGACGTTGACACGGGTGTTTATGCATGACAAGGAATGACAAATTTTGCTGAGGATTTATATTTTAAATTTGGCGCGTTAATACAACGCAACGTGGCAATAGGAACTCACAAAACGAATAATTCAGATCGTGTTGATTTTATGTACCATTATTTTTCTTTGAATAAAAACAATATATCTAACATAAATTTGAAATAAAGTTTAATTTTATGAATCTTAAATTATATGTTTGAATTATTTAACGTATCGTTTTGTTCTTTTTCAAATCCTTGTAACAGACGTTTTACACAATAATGGCGTCAGGGAAGGCTTCACGCAAATCTTCTCCCACAAATTTGAGTAATATTGCGGACTTTAACTGAAAATGTAATAATATTTTGAGTGCAATACAAAGATTTTGTGTCCAAAATTTGTTTTTCCATATTGTCAACTTTAAATTTGGTTTTATTTAGTAGTTTCCGATCAATTCTCTCGAATCTGCACATTTTGCGCTGTTTGGAAGGATATCATTTTCAATAAGATTCTAAAAGTTGCTTCATGAAATGCATCTGTTAGCGTCCCATCTCTAGGGAATCAAAAATATATGCGACAAATTGCATTAGTTGTTGGAATGAAATCTAACGTTGATTGTTCGCACCTCCTTATTCGTATGATTTAGTGTGTGGAAACAGTGTAGGATAGTCTATATAATTTCATTTGAATTATTGCACTTAGTGTCATGATCTTTGTTTTAATGTAATAAAAGAAATACTGATTTTACGTGTATGAGTAAAATTTACAGATAATCTGAAGTGATGGCATTGAAATAGGTTCTGTCACTCAGAAGCAAAAGAATTTGTGGCATAATGCTTAACTTCCCTATTGTGGACGTAGATGATGAATACTACAGATATGTTGAGTCAATAGTCCTAATCAAGCTAGAAATTCTGATTTCAATTTAAATTATTTTGCTATCTTGAACACAGATATCTCGAAGCTTTTCAAGATTTTAAACTATGGTGAATATCACATTTGGAAATCAATGTGGAAACCCATCATTTTCATAATTTTAATCAATTTGTAATAAATCATAAAAATTAGAGATTTATGCATTTTTTGTGTGTACTTATATATATCAAGTATGTACCTGACAATGTATTAACACTGCCAGTTATTGCAAAAAAAAAATTACAGGTAGAAAATGGATAAAGACAATGTGAAGGTGTCGACCAATGGGGATGGGCCTGGTAAAGAAAGCACTGTTACACCAGTAGAAAAACCAACCCCACAAGGAGACAAAGCCCCAACATCTTTGTCTGTAGACATTCCCAACCATCAAGATATTAAACGCCAAGAGTCCTTGCTACTCTCTCCTCAACCCATGTCACCAGACCCAGTGCATGATCTGCCTGTTGAATTGTTGCAAATGGGATGGAGACGATTCTGGAGCAAGAGAGAGGAGAGACCATATTTCTTTAACAAAAACACAAATGAGTCTTTATGGGAAATGCCTCATTTTCCTGGAATGTCTTCAGTTAGTATATATTTAGACTGCTTTATAATATTGTTTTACTAAATATGTTCTTATGACACTTCCACAAAGACAATAATTTCAAGGTATACAGATAAAAAAAAATCTTCTTAGAACATATTGCTAGAATATTCTCTTGCAAATATTTGCTTTCTTGGTGAAAGCATCACTTGAAAAGATCAGTAAAATTATGGTTAAATTTGAAATCCTAAATTTATGATAAATGAATCTATTTTCAGCCTCAAAACAATTTCCTAACAGATCCTTTGGGTATAGGTGGAGATGGCCCAACCCCTCACCACATGGATGCACGTCTTAGCCGCCCAAGCACTGATATTCCACCAGCACAAGTTGGAGAAAAAAGGCGTGCAAGTATGGAGGGTATTGAAAGTCCCACAAAGAGACCTGCATTTGGCTACAGGTTAGAAGTTTAGTATACGGAGTTACGTATTATTAGAGCTGTTAAAGAAATGGTTCATAATGTTGTTAGTTTTTTTTCCTGATATTAAAATCTCTGGTGAAAGGAAAATTTCCATCAACAAGAGGATTATTTTTTTGATTCACATTATTTTCTCCTGTAAAATATTAGGTTGAAGCAACAAACAATAATCTAAGTATGACCTTATGGCCAGCACCAAGTGATAGAATTAGATTTTGGGAAGGGGTGGGATTCAGGAGTATCTGGGGTTTTGTTAAATTGCAAAAAAGAACAACATGAAAGTAGGATTATCTCTTATTAAAAAAAAAAAAACAAAACAAAGAACCTAGTTGTATCTTTCATATTAGTATAATATTAGATAATGATATATGATTTGGTTGGTCCTTGATTGCCCAGCTTTGTCAGAGGTTTGCAGTCATCATAAAATTCTTCTAGAAAATGCAAGGCTGTTTATCAATATATATGCAAAATATTTTGGTATCACACCTCAATGATTATTAGCTTAAATTATTAACTTATTAATAAAAACTAAATAATTATGCTTTCCAGCCCTTTTTGGAATTTTGATATCCCTACAAATGCAGTCATGTTTGAGAGGGTTCCCTGCTGTTTACCACCTCCCATGCCAGAGGTGGAGAAGTTTAGAGCCCAGCTAGTATACAAACTAAGACAACAGTACCAGGAACTCTGCCATACACGAGAGGGTAACAATTCTAATGAATAAACTTAATATTCCTTAAAAAAGGCTGTCCTCCATGTTTTAAAATCTGAAGTCTCAGACAAATTTTGTTCACTACATGTACAATTATGGTTAAAATTTCAGGAATTGATGCACCAGTGGAGTCCTTTAATCGCTGGCTATTGGAAAGGAAGGTTGTTGATCGAGGGAAGGACCCCATGCTGCCTTCCCAGTGTACCCCAGAAGTTTCTCAATCTATGTACAGGGAGATCATGAATGACATTCCTGTCAAACTGGTCAAGCCCAAGTACACAGGGGATGCACGCAAACAGCTCTTTAAATATGCTGAGTCAGCTAAAAGAATGATTGAAACAAGGTCTGTTGGTGAACTTTAAAAAATGTGGAATTTTTTAAAGAATTACCCCATTCATTATCAGAAAATGGTTTCATATTTTCAGAAAATGGTTTGATATTTGAAGATTCAACTTTTAATATCCAAATTATTAAAAGAAAAATTCATTGATTTGAAAGATTTAACATAGTTATTCATTTATTGTGATATGGTGATTAAAAGAAAGTTTTATACATGTATATGCATGTGAAAACCTCCAAAGAATCATTTCTATATAAAAAGTGCAAAATTTCAGGAGTGCATCCTCTGATAGCAGGAAGATTGTGAAATGGAATGTAGAGGAGACATTTACATGGCTGAGGAAACAAGGGGCTGCTTCATATGAAGACTACTTGGTTAGGGCAATATCATAACTAAATAGAAACAGAATATTTATGTTCTTACAATGACAAACTGTAGCCAATGCTGGAGTAGTTTATGATAATACTGCATGTTTACATTTTTGAAAAACTTGCATTTGCAAGTGAGTGTTCTATGTATTTAGGGAAATATTCAAAACTTTATTAAAATGTTCTGCAGGAAAGGCTGGCTCACTTAAAGAGGCAGTGTCAGCCTCACCTGACAGAGACTGCTAAGTCTTCTGTAGAAGGAATCTGTTGTAAGATGTACAATATGTCTTGTGAGAGTGTCCGCAAACTCCATGAGTTCCATTGGCAGCTACTGAAGGAGCATGGAATCAAGGGTAGGTTGTTAATGATATAGGCACTGTATGTTCAAATGATAATGTCACAAATTCTTGAAGGAGAAAATAAATCATTTCATTCAAGTACTTGACAAGATTATGTTTTCTTGTTTCATAGAACCAGCCAAATTCCCTGATCCCATCAATCCCAGAAAAGTGTTGTGTTACCCAATCCAAATGTGTGTTCCCTGTCCCAGGCTATCAACTGTAGAACTCATGCAGGACAAAGAAACCCACACACTAAAATGGAATGGAGAAATACTCAAACTCAACAGCTCACATTTCTGTAAACTGGTAGGTTTCATTAATAAAATAGACATGTCAAGAGAATGTGATATGTGTAACAGAAATTTTATACAGTAGAGAAAGATTGGAACTTTATGCCAATATTTCTGTTGCCTGCAAGGGCAGACACATCAGTATCAAGTTGTCACACTGACAAAAATAACAAGGACACATGATTGCTAGTTATTAAGGCTGCATTACCTTTACATATACATGTATTGTAGACCTACAGCATCAGTGTGATATAACTTCTTCAGTTCTTTTTGTTTTGGGTTTGACTTTTATCATGAATACGTGAAAGGTTTTCATTGCTTGCATCTCATGCATATGTGTAAGGTTTTCATTGCTTGCAACATTTTCTTAATATAAAGTCACATATTTCAGGAGCAATTGTACAAATTAAATTGTCGAGATGATCCCAGATTTGACCATTTTCTTGGACGTGTCTGGTGTTTACTACGCAGATATCATGTAAGTTGTCAAAATTTTACACAACTAAATAAATTAAAATTGAAATACAAGATATTCTTCCAGATTCTAATATAACCAATCAAATTGTTTCTATATGAGATATATTGTGTACTTCCAGACATTATTTGGCCTTGGTCCAAATGAAGGGTTTGGATTGCAGGGAGCTTTATCAGTCTCAGTATTTGAGTGTCTTCATCGAGTTTTTGGAGTGACTTTTGAATGTTTTGCCTCTCCACTGAATTGTTATTTCAAGCAATATTGCTCAGCATTTGAAGATACTGATGGTTATTTTGGATCCCGTGGGTACGCATGCACTCATTTTTGAACAAAGTGAAAATCAGGACAGTGCATCTATTGCATTCATAATTTATTTTATGAGGAATGATCAAAAAGTTCGCGAACTATCTCTATAAAACCACAATTCAGATCAGAATGAAATTTGGCACACATATATGTAGTCATACAAATGCTTTATAAATAGCACGTTATGTGATTTTTGCTCCATGTTTGTGACTTCACAATGTGAAAATGACGTCTATATGTAGATGACTTGTGACAAAAAAAAATGGTTGACTCAGTCGTATTTGAGCAACACACAGCTGTAAAGTCTTTCTTATATCTTGGAAATTCCTTTGCAGTAACATATAATAATTTATACAAGGTGTTTATGAAGACAAAAGACTTGCCAGAAATTCAATCATTAATTGGATTGATTGTTTTAGTGAAGGAAGGGAGATGTTTAAAAATGATGTTTTTTTTCTATTGCCCAGTGAAAGCAAGCTGGGGAAGAGATGTGTCCTTAGCTGCACAATTTGTTATGAAAGATCGCCAAGTTACAGTTAGAAAAATAGTTAAATATCTTAACAATAATATTAATTGTTAAATCCCTGAAATATTGTTTACTTTAGGCTTTAAACATATCAGATATGATAAAAAGAAGGCGCCCATGTTTAATCCACATTGGATAAACGACGCTTCGAAGACCGAGGACATGGGTTTTGATGGTCACCATGCTCATTCTGGGAAAGGATATCCTTATCCACCCATCCTATTGCCAAGATTAAGCCATTTCCGACAAATGGACTGTTCTTGTTATAAAAAATAACTTTAATGGTAAGAAATATAAGACTCGAAAAAATCTTTGACCGCCTGGATCACATGATTCGTGCTTGGGCAGAACGGTGGCAGATGTGCAATAAAATCGGAGAGGACTACTTTAAAAAGTAATGAACACTGAAACCTTATTTTATTTCTTTTATGGAAGCAATTCAATTAGTTCGCGAACTTTTTGATCACCCCTCGTACTAATATCTTCATTTGATATTCATTTTATATCATATACAAAAATGATATCCAAACACTTGCCTCTGTCTTTTACATGTTTACAACTTTTGTAGACCTATTCTTAAATTCAGACCCGTTAGTGGGTCATTTGAGGCCAATCCACCATTCAGTGAAGAACTCATGGAAACCATGGTTGACCATTTCGAGGTAAATTAATGGAAGCAAGTTCATATAAAGAATATTTTACATGTATATTCCTTGTGACAAGACCTTCCCTTGAGTACCAACAATTTTGACCTTGACATTGAAGTTTGACTAACTTGTGAAAAACTTTATCCTTGGCTATAGCTTTTGAATGATTGGAGCTAGAGCTTTCATATTTCACATGAATTTTCCTTGTGACAAGACCTTCCCTTAGGTATCAACAATTTTGACTTTTTTACCTTGACCTTGGAGTTTGACTTACTTTTGAGAAACTTGAACCTTGGCAATGAACTGCCATACCGGAACATCAGTGTTTCACAAACACATCTTGTCTTTTATTCATATTGTAAAGAAATTGTTCTTAACTCAAATTATAATGGTATTGGTTGTGTTATGCCAAATGTGATCATCAACCAAACAACATAGTATTTCAGAATACCAAATATATGTATATTACAGTTTTTCAAATATATTTTGATGGCATTCCAGTGTTGATAATGTCAGCTGCATTAATGTCCCCTTATTTTCTTTAACACAGAATTTGCTAAAGGAATCTAAAGAACCTCTGTCATTTTGTGTGTTTATCCCAGAGTGGAGGGACCCACCAACAGAGGCTCTCATTAGACTGGAATCCAGCAGGTACGTATAATTATTTTGAATTTTTTATCAAGGTTCTTACGAATGAAGAAAGTATTCAGTTAGGAAGTACTGTAGGAGTTATTTTCCATTGTATATGTTCTTTCAGATTTAAAAGGAAGTCTGTTGTGTTGCCACCCTATGAACATGAGTATCGGAGTGGTTTTCAGCATTTTTGTCCAAAGTAAGTCATAGCCTTAATAATAATTGTTTAACATCTTGTTTTCAGGTCACCTGAGTCACTCAAACAATCTATTGTTGTCTGTTTTTGTCCGTCTTCATGCATCTTCCGTCTAGCATTGTCTGTTAACATTTGAACATTGTCAACTTTTCTTTTGAACTGCTGAAACAATTTTAACTAATTTTGGTATATAGCATCTTTTGGCAAAGGGGAACAAAAACTAGTGCTAATTGTAATGGGAACCGTTACAGATGTTCCCCAAACACTCCCCCACTACCTTATGGGCCTCATTCCCTACAAGCTTCATTAAATTAGGCAATTCTTTTGTGTAATAAATCTACACTTTATTTTCAGAAGTATTTAATCCAAAAACAATGCCAGTATATATAGTCTTTTGAGTATTAGCCAGTCAGCTTTCAGAGCACGGACATACCTATGTTTTCTAGGTATTTCACGTCATCCTCGTAAAGAGACTCACAATTAATACCTATGTAAGAAATCTCAAACATTTTCATTGAAAACTATGAGAGATACAGCTATATAAATGTTAGCCAATCAGAATCCAGCATACATGCATGCATGTTCTTTCATTCAGTTTTGATGGTAGCACAATGTAGGAGCCCATTATACCTGAAAACTAATAAAGTTACAGCCATTTGAAGTAGAGCTGAAACAAATACCAAAAATCAATATTCGAATATTTGGGACTACTATTCAATTCATATTTGAATATTCGTCAATGTTGTATATAAAGTATATCTTTCTAAAATGTTATAATACCTATACCATATGCAGACTAAAGGAAATTTGTATTCGTATGTAATGATAAAATTGATGCCGATATAATTGCTTGACGTTAAACTGTCCATTGTTAAAGCAATATGAGGTGCATTTGAGATAATTTTATTTTGCTGTTAAAATGTGCTTTTATGTTAAATCTGTATGTAATTTAAACCTTTATGATCAAGTAGACTAAAATAGGTGTTATTTTTTTCGGAAGAAGTATTTCTGTACATGGGAATGTATAGTATTGTATAAAAAAATCAATATTGTACAGGATGACAATAATGTAATTTTATGAATTTTCTCTGAAATCATTATACACGTAGTAGTATATATATATTTAAAAATTACGGGGTTTTCCTATTTTTCAGAGATGAGATGAATGTGAAATCTCTCCATGGAACACTTGTGGTATTTCTACAAAATGATGCTGGATTTCAACGCTGGAATCCTACACCAGAGAAAATTAAAGAACTTTTACTGGCCGCAAAACCAAAAGACACTGTAGTTTGATGTGTTTTCACAAAAACTTAAAAGTGTGCAAGAAGTAGGAAATCCTACACAATCAGATTACTGAGAAGTAGCTTGTGAACACAGTAAATCGTTTCTATTGTTATCATTAAGGTTCTGAAATGTTGTGTTTTTTCTTGTTAAGAATATTCTGGATAATTTCAAGCAGCTTTTCTGACATTGATGACTTGGTGCATTTGGCCATAAGTCTGAAGGATCCGTGTGAGACAAAGGCAGCAGTATTCATGTGGAGACAATGGAGGGGGGCACCTGCTGGTGAATGTTGTGTCCTTGCCTCATTACCCACACCATAGAAATGAACAAAGACTGCATTTGACTTCGTCATTTAATTTATACACTTTTTCATTGTTAAATATGACTTTTTCAAACAGTTTCAGAAGGCATTTGAGTAGAAAACACCCTGTTTCAACAAAATCAAGTTCTTGCCATAACTTTGTAATGAAGAATTCATTGGAAGCTAATGATACATTTAACCTTATAATTTTAAAGCAGATATTGTAAAAAGTTCTTACATTTAATATCAAATAGGTTGCCTATTATTAAGGGTTTTTACATTACACTTTATGTATGCTGATCAGGGTCAGTTTGTAAAGATAAACATGTCAGGAGTTACAATGGAAAAAAATATTGTCTTGGCCATAACTGTAATACAAGAATTTTAGAAGTTCAATTGGCATAATTTAATCATTGAAATAGGCCACAGTTATAGATACCTGGAGTTGCATGAATATATGCTATACAGTGTAGTTTAGATTTGCACCAGTTGCACATGCCCATTAGTGATGTAAGTTCATTAGGACCACTGTACTTTATACTATACCAGTAGTTAAAAAACATGTACATATACATGGATTTGTTTCTATGGTGTATTGTACATATATTACATTTGCATGTTATTGTCTGAAATCCACTTGTGAAATGGAGGATTTATTGAAATGATCTCTGTTTATATTTATGAATATGTTGTTGTTTACACATGTATCACTGATGTATATTTCTGTCAATCATAATTTATTGTCATCATCTGTAGCACTTCTTTCCTGTACAGGTATTATTTTTAATACATGCCCTGACACTTAAATTTAGTTTTATATTCTTTTTACCTGTTTTAAATTTGTCATATTTTAAAAGTGCATGTACATGTATTTAGAAAATATGAAATATTTAATCGTTAATTTTTTTTTATATGAAAATATATTATTTAGTTTTATTATAATTGATGTGCCCTAGTATTTAATTACAGGTATGTTAAGAATTCTATAGTTTGTCTGTTAAGATAAACTGTTCTTTATTTGTGTACAATTGGTGTATTAGAAATATTAGAATTCAAAGTGCTTCTCTATTATTTGCACTGCATGGGACTTTGGCAATCTGTTACTATTGTTTTTCAAAGTTTATCTGTTCATAAGTTGTTTAACATGGTCAATTTAAATAGCTACATGTATCATGGTCGGCCTTTTCAGTGTCTAGAGTACACATACTTTTCTGTAAAGTAAATACAATAATCTCTGCAAATTTCATTGTACTTAATAAACTAGTGTATGTTAAAATTGTTTTGTTGTTGTGCTTATAAAATGAACCAATTATACAACTGCAGCAAGTGTTAATGTCATAGTCAATTACCATGTTGTTCCCATTTTTACATGTAAAATGAACGTATCTTCAAAAGAATTGAAAGGTCATGTCTTGCTAATTAAGTTCCTATGGGCCTGATGTACATGTACTATTTACATGTGCTTTTTAGCTCACCTCGACGAAGTCGAGATGAGCTTATGCTATACCCCCGGCGTTGGCGTCGGCGTTAGCGTCGGCGTCCCGGTTAAAGTTTTAGGAGCAAGTCCCATTCCCAAGTTACTATAAGCCCTACCTGGACCAAACTTGCATGGATGATGCATCTAGAATGGACACTGCCACACTTGCTTCGGATGCTGGATCTGACTTAGATTTTCCAGATGAGTGACCAGGTTAAAGTTTTTGGAGCAGGTCCATTCCCAAGGAACTATACGCCCCACCTGAACCAAACTTGTATGGATGAGGCATCTAGGGATGGACACTACCACACTTGCTTCTGATGCTGGATCTGACCTAGATTTTCCAGATGAGTGACCAGGTTAAAGTTTTTGGAGCAGATCCATTCCCAAGGAACTATACGCCCTACCTGGACCAAACTTGCATGGATGATGCATCTAGGGATGGACACTACCACACTTGCTTCTGATGCTGGATCTGACCTAGATTTTCCAGATGAGTGACCAGGTTAAAGTTTTTGGAGCAGGTCCATTCCCAAGTAACTATAAGCCCTACCTGGACCAAACTTGCATGGATGATGCATCTATTGATGAACACTACCACACTTGCTTCGGATGCTGGATCTGACCTAGATTTTCCAGATGAGTGACCAGGTTAAAGTTTTTGGAGCAGGTCCATTCCCAAGTAACTATACGCCCTACCTGGACCAAACTTGCATGGATGATGCATCTAGGGATGGACACTACCACACTTGCTTCGGATGCTGAATCTGACCTAGATTTTCCAGATGAGTGACCAGGTTAAAGTTTTTGGAGCAGATCCATTCCCAAGTAACTATAAGCCCTACCTGGACCAAACTTGCATGGATGATGCATCTAGGGATGGACACTACCACACTTGCTTCGGATGCTGAATCTAATCTAGATTTTCCAGATGAGTGACCAGGTTAAAGTTTTTGGAGCAGGTCCATTCCCAAGTAACTATAGGCCCTACCTGAACCAAATTTGCATGGATGATGCATCTAGGGATGGACACTACCACACTTGCTTCGGATGCTGAATCTGACCTAGATTTTCCAGATGAGTGACCAGGTTAAAGTTTTTGGAGCAGATCCATTCCCAAGTAACTATAAGCCCTACCTGAACCAAACTTGCATGGATGATGCATATAGGGATGGACACTACCACACTTGCTTCGGATGCTGGATCTGACCTAGATTTTTCCAGATGAGTGACCAGGTTAAAGTTTTTGGAGCAGGTCCATTCCCAAGTAACTATAAGCCCTACCTGGACCAAACTTGCATGGATGATGCATCTAGGGATGGACACTACCACACTTGCTTCAGATGCTGAATCTAACCTAGATTTTCCAGATGAGTGACCAGGTTAAAGTTTTTGGAGCAGGTCCATTCCCAAGTAACTATACGCCCTACCTGAACCAAACTTGCATGGATGATGCATCTAGGGATGGACACTACCACACTTGCTTCGGATGCTGAATCTGACCTAGATTTTCCAGATGAGTGACCAGGTTAAAGTTTTTGGAGCAGATCCTTTCCCAAGTAACTATAAGCCCTACCTGAACCAAACTTGCATGGATGATGCATATAGGGATGGACACTACCACACTTGCTTCGGATGCTGGATCTGACCTAGATTTTCCAGATGAGTGACCAGGTTAAAGTTTTTGGAGCAGGTCCATTCCCAAGTAATTATACGCCCTACCTGGACCAAACTTGCATGGATGATGCATCTAGGGATGAACACTACACACTTGCTTCGGATGCTGAATCTGACCTAGATTTTCCAGATGAGTGACCAGGTTAAAGTTTTTTGAGCAGATCTATTTCCAAGTAATTATAAGTCCTTCTTAAACCAAACTTGTATAGATATTGATCTTGGGGTGTACACTAACTAGAAAAAATATGATGTGAGATTTGCCTTACTTATAGATAACCTTCGTCGAGGTGAGCTTCGTAATCTTTGATTACCTATGTTTAAGGTATTTCCATCCTCCTCTGGTGTCATAGGTTACACAATAGAAAAATATGCTTCTCAATAGGTGAAATGGAAAATATTCTTGAGTAAAAAATATTCAAATGTATATTTTCTTTTTTAATCGATTATATTCTATTTCTAAAAAGGTTGCTCCTCATGTATTTTCTTTATTGTACTTCTGATGTAAAATATTTTTCCCGATACATGTATTCATAATTCAAATATATTTATAAAGTAGCAATTATATCGGAATTTTCAGCATCAGAATTATGTATTTGAACCAGTTTTTACATAATTTTTGTAATACTGCTTACTAAAAATGTACATTTTTTTTATGCTGACATATACTTCTTTTTATTTATATGTCTCACCAGGGACCTATATACTAACTATATACTAACTTAGTATATTGGTCCCTGGTCTCACCCCGAAAATAATTGGTAACCTACAAATGTATACATTTTTTGTAATAATTAGTTAATTTAAACTATATTCTGTGAAGATAAATGCAGTTTTTCTACTTTGAACCATTAAAATTGTGAGGGTGGAAATACTTCAAATGAATAAATCTATTGCGAACATCAATTCATTTTTACATTCTATATTTTTTATGCTGTTGAATTATGACTCTGTTTGATGATTTCAATGGGCTTGGGTCTGAATTCAACACCGTTGGTCTCAGTATTTCAACGTTGAAATATGACCCCCGGGTCAGTTTTCAACCGGGGTCGGCAAAGCTTTTTGAAAAAAGCAACTGTGTTTCGATTCCTGAGGGCCGAATTGTTTCTGGTTCGAATCGATAGGTTATGAGTATTGGAGCGCCCTCTAATGTTCATTCTGCAGTGCACAATAAAGTGGAAGGTGGACCAGAATAATGTGAAATGGATCAAAATGTAAGTGTACCATTATAATCACTATATGTTAAACGATGCGACCGTTACGGTGGAGGGCAGAAGATTCTAGATTCTATGTTCAGGGGATGTTTCGCGCTAATACATGGTTCGGTTCTATTCTGTTTCGCCTTCGGATGGTTCGAGCGTGGCTCGAGCCACGATGTATACATGTAAATCTCGGTCCTACTAATTAACTAAGCAGAGAACCCTAGAGAACTCGAGGTTTATTCGGTGAATTCAAAAATTTTTTATGCATAATTGAGTTGATTTTTACTTTATATATCTTATTCTGTCTATAAAATGAATAACACGGTTATTTTAGGAATGTTTTCCCTCGAAAACCAAAATGGTGAAATATTTTATGTCATCCCGATCCCGATTGAATTTCAAAAACTAATATTTTATAAATGTTTTTCAAAATATTTTTTATTTAATATAATTTTTTTTTTCAAAGTTATGTCGATGCACAAATCCTTTGCACTTTCTCATTTAATCAGAATTTGATGAAACTTTCATCAGACTGTTCATTTTTACCTAATTTCAACTCAAAACTTTAAAAATATGTAGTAACTAAACATTTCAACTGTCGATATTTGTGCAGCAGTACCATCAATCATTTGAATATTCTGCGTATAATTATACCTTGTTTCTGTTAAATTAAAAAGGGTATGCCCTTGTGCGGAATGTGTTTTGTTGATATGCTTTATAACGAGAGTAGTAAAGAATGACTTCATAATGTGATGTCATAATATGTACTGGTTATAACCAGTTCAGTGAAAATGAGTGTTTTAAATTGGAAACTTTATTATGTGTCAGTATGTGAGATCGTACATTTGCAACAACAAAAAAATCCCTATACCGACCTTGATTTTTTTGTTACAGGAAACAAAGTTGAAATTTTTTTGGCCTTAATTCTTTGAAAAAAATTTTCTCTACTACTTGGTATTTAGGAGATAAACTAAGTGCGTAGTTGTGATGAGCAAGGGTATTTTTATTAGATTTTTGAAATTCTGGACCACTTGGTCAAACGTTCTGATGCTGGACAGGGCTCTATTTTGTATTCTACTGAGATTATTACCATTTGCTATTTAATGACCTATGATAATTTAAAATTACTAAATAATGTAATTGAAAGGTCAGTTGAATACTAATGTGGCGGTCAGACGGGTTCGATCGCCGGTGGCCAGATAGCTCAGTTGGTAGAGCACCTGACTGGAGATTCAGGGGGCCCGGGTTCGAATCCCGGTCTGGTCCGCTGCATTTTTCTCCTCTCCCGTTACACTAGTAAGAGCATTATACAAGAATTTTTAGCCCACCTGAGCTGAAGGCTCAAGTAAGCTTTTCTGATCAAAATTTGTCTGTCTTCATTGTCGTCATAAATTTTTTACAATTTCATCTTCTTCGATCCAGAACCACTTGGCCAATTTCAACCAAACTTGGCACAAAGTATCCCTGGGTAAAGGGGATTCAAATTTGTTCAAATGAAGGACCACACCCTCTTCCAATGGGAGATAATTTAGAAAAAGTAAGAATTGGGTGGGGTTATTTAAAAATCTTCTTCTCAAGAACCACTGGGTCAGAAAAGATGAAACTTATGTGAAAGCTTCCTGACATAGTGTAGATTCAAGTTTTTTCAAATCATGACCCCCAGGGCTTGGGTGGGGTGGTAGTGGGCAATCAAAGTTTAACATAGGAAAACATAGGAAATTTATTTTTAAAAATTCTTCTCAAGAATGGTAAAGCCATGACTGGTGATCGACATTTATATGGAAGCATCCTTAGGTAGTGTAGATTCAAGTTTGTTCAAATGATCCCGAGGGCTTGGGTGGGGACACAATGGGCAATGAAAGTTTTACATAGGAAAACATAAGAAAAATCTTTAAAAATCTTCTCAATAACAGAAGTCATGAT